TGTATATAGGTTACAAATTCAACTCCCTTCGACAGCAGAGGCAGGAAATGTGAGCACCAATGTTTATCGATACTATGCAACTCGGAAATTTTTTTTCACTTCTATTTCAACATATTTTGATTAATAGAAAAATACTAATAAAAATAAATATTTCACACTAACAACAAACAATTTAATCGATAATCGCATGAGGCTATTGCCTGAAAACTTTAAAAAGCGCTTAGTGGCATTGTACTACTATGATAGCATGGCCGAGTAATCATAGTTAACTTATGTACAGTAGTCGAACAAATTATAGCCGCACCAAATTTGAACACAATTTTTAAAATTTTATTTTTGCTGTTATTTAATTTTGGTTAGCTTTTTATAGTTCATTCTTTAAAAACTTACGTATAAACACAAGTCTAAAGGCAGTATCACACGATTGGGTATTTGCCAAAGTTTGGTGCAAATCCTTTCACAATTAATTGGTTGAAATCAATCAATCTTTTGACTACATTTTTTAACAATAGCTCAATATAAAAATGTACAAATCTGTACAAATGCACTAATCGACTGCCATACAAATATTGTATATAAATATGTATTCTATCGAAAAAAAATTTTAGACTCTCGTCATAAAAAAAATCATTTTAAAAATATTTCTTTAAATCCCCCAATTTTTTTTTAAACATGTTTTTATAGAGAATTAAACAAGGAATACGATGGTATCATTTTAAATCCCTAATTTACTGGTCTTCACTATGCAAATAATCTTCAAAAAGTTCAACTGTTAATAGCTAAGTTAGCTTTAGGACAATGTTGACCATCTTATATATAGAAATGTTAAACCCGTTTCTTTAGCTTTAAAACGACGTTAAAATGAAGTCTCTATGATGAGCAGAACCCGAGATATAACGATTAGAAGAAGTACATGAATAGTCAGAAACACGAAAAAATTCAAACTTTGACAGATCATATCTCTGAAGAAAAAAAATAAAAAAAAAAATTCCTCGAACACGTGTTAGCTTATTTAATGTATAAAACCCATAAAAAAAAATTTGAAGCCAATCGAAAGTGTGACACCAAATTTGGTGTCCGATATGAAAAAGAATGTCGAGAGATCGAGACACCAGCGTTTTTTTTCAATGCCCCAGGATGGTACGACACCATTATCTTTACCGAAAATATTCTGAAAATTTACAGTTCGCTGCGACTGATTGCTGGTATCTTTATCGAATATAATGGTAATAAGTATCACTTTTCACTTGGTGAGTGTGTCTCGGTATTCCAAGCCGAGGTATTCGCAATCCCCAAGGCCATGGACTACGTGGCGGAAAATAGGTGGAGATGCAGGACTAAATTATGTTTGAAAACATTGCGAAATTGTCTAACTCTGGGCACCTGGTCTCTTGGGAGAGCCTGGTAATGAGACATCTGACCATTTGGGGTAGAGAGGGCTCAAACCCGGTAGTTTTCGGCTCGCAACCAATTACAGCTTTCCCATATTTGGAAATCAAAGCCATAATGATAAACTGGATGAATATTTCGCTCAGCAATGACTGGAGGGAGGGCTTGGAGAGATGGCAAATGGACGAAACTCATATTGCCCTCAGTCTCAGAGGTTGTGCTGAGTATTTCCTTTCATCGAACGAAACGACTTAAAGGACTGATGTACAACCGCATTTACCCTTCCTGCCATAGAGAGGTTGAGACGTCGAAGCACTTTTTGTATCTCAGTTCCGACTTTTGCAAGGATTAGGTGTACAGTTTTTGGCAGCGATTTGTTGAGATGAACAACTGAGCTCTTTAACATCCAGGATTAAAAAGAACATGAAAGCAGTACAATAGGTGGCATGTTAGGATACATGCTTTTTTCTGCACGCGTCGTTTTATGCATGTAGTTTCGTCAAAAAAATCGTTTGCAAAGAAGAACTTTATAACTCTGCATGCCGGGGGTTTCGTTAAGCGTTGAGAGAGGACAGCTGATTATAAGACTATTTGACTAGGCGTAATCCATAGGCTGTGACAGAAACTCTGATGGTCCAACTTTTGAACGAAGTGTACGGCGTTCGTCGCTGGAAACTGCCAAAGAGTGCAATGATAGACAAACTGATTCGTAGTTTAGAAAAGATTTTAAACTGTGAAATTCTTTATATACCCGCTTGGCTGACGGAAATAGGTCTAAAACTGGCACACCAAAATATTTGATTAAAAGTTTTAATGTGTGTATATTAGGTAACTGGATAATGCTGTTTTTTTATATAAATTTGTGCATCATTCCATAAATTTCGCCTGATTTAGAAGATCTTCTTCACAGATACACCTACACACTCCAGCCGTCAGCCGTCTGCGTAATACTCAGCATTAATGATTTAGTTGTTAAAAAGAAATACAAAAAAAAAAAAGTTTTTTGTCATCGTTGTTCGCTTGATTGCCGGATTATATTTATTTCACTTTTTTACTGCAAGCTAACGAGAAATACTACAAATGATTAACATAAAAATGCATAAATAGCCGAAAATTGGATTTCAGTTTTTTTTGTTACTCGTTCACTTCATTGCCAATGCAACACCTACTGTCCGCTGCCCTTTCCCCTTCTCGCAACCGTTAGTCGCTGCTAACCTTTCTTGTTTGCTTGTGTTTAATTTTATAGTCGATTTTATTAATTAAAAATACATTGTCGTATACATTGGGTGCTCTTTAACTTCCCCTCTGTATTTATCCACCGTTTTTTGGGCAGTTCTATGGGTATCTTGTTTGGTTTTTTGTTGTTGTTTTTTTTTTTGTTTTGTGTTAAATCGTTTTTATACTTAAATTAGAGAACACCACTTTTTCGATCGTTTGACTCAGCGCAGATTTCTTAATGAAGTGTGTGTAGGAAGGCATGAAATTGAAATATTTATAAACTCTTTTAATTTGAAGCTTGTTTTTTTATTGCTTCTTTTTCGTGCTTTGTAGATATGTATATATCTGTGAAATAAAATCAACTGCCAGCTAGTTATCAACGATACTGATCGCGTACAGATTATCTTCTTGGTGCGAAGATTTGACTGCTGCCGGCCGTAATCGGTTTCCTTTTCCAATAAGTGTTGTTGTTTTTATTTTTTTGTGCATCTGTTATCTGTTGTGATTGTGGCAGTGGATTGTTGTTAAAATTTTTATGTCATTTTAATGTGATAACACGGCTTGGGCACTTGTAATTGTGAACTGGGTCAAAACAAATGTAGTATTAAATGAAAAAAAACAACAACCAACGCAGAAGTGACATTTTTATGTATTTTAATTCACTTAATTATGTTTACATACATTTTGGTACACCATTTAAAAATTTTTGATTTCACAGGTTTTTTTGTTCAATTAACATGAAATCAAAATTTATTGAAATCTTACATTTTTGAAACATTTGTTATTCAAAGAAATGGGAAATGAGTAAAGTGCTAACGAATTTGGACTTAATCGTTCTACATTAGAGACAAGTTCTACTTTCATTAAGGCATTTTAACACATTTTTATACCTAATGAACTAACTCGACAAGGTAATGTAGTGATGAATAAAATATTCATATGTTGCATATTCCTAAAATTTAAAAATTTTGTGCTTGAGTTGTTTTCTTGGATTCTATTCGAGAGTGTATCAATCTTTCGTTACTCTCTTTACATTTTTTTGCCAATTATTTATCACCGGACATTTTACCGATCAGTACTCGCTTTGGTGATGTTTTTGTGATTGCAAATTTAATTCTTTACAAAAAATGTCAAAATACCAAATTATGTAGGACTTAAACCACCGAAGATGATTACAATTTTATTAAAAAAAACTTAATTAAATAAAGTTGTCAAATTTTTTAAATTTTTTTTTTAGTTTTTATTAATTGGTGGAAATTATTTATAAATTACTGAGTATACAAGACAAAAGAAGTCATTTTTTTTCAATATTATGGATAAAATCCAATTTTGAGTCTTTTTATGTAAACTTTTGGACCAAAAACGCTATTATATTAAATATACAGTATTTTTGTCGCATTTACTTCCATATAACGAATAAACGTAATTTATTTTTATATGGAAGAAACCCGCAACACCTTCGGCGAAAAAAATTCTAAAAAATCAACGGTAATTTTTAGCCACTTGAACTTTGCTCATTGTTGAACTAAAATTTAATAGGCTATAAAACTGTATACTCCAAAAAATTCTAACACTTCTGAGAAAAAAGTTTGAAATTTTAGTGAAAATTTGTTGAATTTTTTTTAGTTTTCTACAAAGTTTTAAACTTGGGTTTATATAGGGTTTTGTTAGAGAATGAACTGTATTTTAATCGAAAATTCCTAAAAATATATATCACTTTGAAATGGGGGTGCTATTGTATGGGCCAATATTCTATGTAATAGGACTAGGTCATTTTCGCTGCTACAAAGTGTACTTAATGCGTAATTTATAATATTTTTCACATTTCCATTATAAACTAGTAACTCGCTAATAATCAATTGGGTATAATCAGTTCAGTTCCATAATTGTGTTGTACTTTTCTTTTTATGCTTCGCTAATAGCTGCTGTCAATACATACATATATTTAAGCAATTAAGCAATCATTACGAACTGGTTTCAAATTATCGCAATTCCATTAAGCAAATATAAATTAATTAATTTAATGCGCTCCAAATTGGTTCAACTACCATTTTCAAGAGGTTTATAAATTGGATGTGCTAAATTTATCGGTGACTCGGTGCAAGTTGTAGAAATCACTGAAATTTGTGACAATATTTGATTTTTGATGAAAAAGAGATTTGGTAAAAATAAGTACAAAATTCTATTTCAAAGATTTTCAAATTCCAAATAGCACATATTTAGATTCAAAAAAATCTTGAATTTGAAATTTCAATTTCTCACAATTGTAACCTGCTCTTTTAACATTAAAGTGAGTGTCATCACTCCCGATATCTGGACTAAGCCGCTTCAAGTATAATACGATCTTCGTTTCGAAAATTTAATAACAACACAAAGTTTTTCATCTAACTCACCTCGTAAAGACATCCGGGTAGTGCGTTCGTGAAAACGCCTTCTCCAACTCCTCCAATTGAAAGCTGGTAAATGTAGTGCGATAGCGACGCTGCTTACGTTTCGGTGCATAATCATCTAGTTCACCATCGCTATTCGCATCCGAAATGGGACTATTCGTGCCGCCACTAGCACCGGTAGTTACAATGCAGGAGGCCGAAGAACGATCAGGCATGGCATCCTGATGTGCTAATTTGGCTTCTTGCGGTAGGTCGTCCAGCTTGACTTCCTCGGATATGCCCATAATCCAGATGGGCGCAATGGTGAGACCGTTAGTGGTGGGCGTGCGGGTCGTGAGTGCAATGGAAATTAAGTTTGTCTTCGAACACGCTGCGTTTAAAGGTTTCTTAGATCACAGCAGAAGGAATTTTTTTTTTTGTTTTGCTTGTTTTCATATCCTGCCGCTGTCGCTGTTTTATTCAAAGTCTGCAAAGAGAAATTCAAAACAAATATTTTAGATGATGAGTTACATATTTACACACTAAGGTGCTTTTTTTACAATTGTTCTTGATTATGTGGAAATAATTTTGAGTCTGAATTTCTCGTAGACGTGCATTTATGCCGAGCAGCCGCTTGACTGAGATTGCGCTGCTGAGATTGAATGCGAAATGGAGCTCATCACCATAAATAAGTTGGATTTCAGCGGAAACGTGTGGACATAACATAGCTACAACTTAATTGAAAATCCATTCGCCTTATTGATGCTTAAGTGCGCAGGCGCGCAGCTATGCACGCGCTTACATACATACATATGTATATGTATGTTAGCCGCGCGCTCTTAGAACCTAAGCTATTTCTGCTGTTGTTTCTGCTGTTTTACCCGGTTTCGGCCATTGGCCATTGGCCAACAACTTAATTAGTTCACTAATTCATGACAAGTGAAGAGGCATCAACTAATTTGTAGCGAGGCACTTGGCCGACGCACTTCACTTTACAAGCAAATTCACGGCAATGGTCACGCTTGCCAATTGCATACATAAGTACACTAATACCACAACTTGCGTATCGACGACCTTCATACATACATATGTATGTACATACGTGCATCCATAAAATCATTCATACAGCTGCACCAAGCTGAAAACGTTTGCGTAGGTACAAGCGAAAGTGAAACGCAAGGCTTGCGCATGCGCAGCTGCTGTCTACTTTTTGTTTTTTTTCATTGCTTTGACTTTGTATTTTCGCGCATACATTTGCTCGCAAGTACACACTTGCATTTACTTTGACTGCCTCGTCGAGTGATCAATTGCACTTGTCCTTTGTTCGGCTTTTTTTTTATTTGTCTTGACTGTAGCCAAATAAGGACATTTCACCCATTGCTATTTTAAGGGAAAATTAAAGATGCGTGCGGAAAATACCAAAAGCGACAAATGAAATTCCAGCTAAAATGGCTGGTAGGTGGAAAAAGCCAGTTGAGTTTTTGTCGTTGTGCTTCAGGTGAAGGCGGTGAAGGTGGCAAGATAGACCATTGCCGATTTGGTAGTCGACCGACTATAGAATATATTAAATTAACGCAATTGCTGCTGCGTCTGGGGACTAGCACAGTGGGCTAATTGGAAGTGAATACACTTTGACTGCACGTTCCTTTAAGATTAAACATTTTTCATTGCTTCTTTATTATAGGTATGCTATGCATTTGTTTAGAGAATAGTATAGAAAGTCATATGCCCGAAAGTTTACTTTTAAGTGCAAATAATTTAGAAGAAATTTTTTTTAAGTTTTTAAAATCGGGTACAGCAGAAAAATAAATATGTATTTGGTCCTGTACTCTAGCAATTCGGAACATTTTCATACTCCACTAATTTTTAAAACTGTGACCAATCTTTTTTTAATTCTTCATTTAACTAATTTAACTAGAATTATGAACCGAGTTCGCATTTTTTTTTGGAAATATTAAGAACGGATTTGCCGGTTTGGATCTGACGTTTACAGGACTAACTCAGACAGAAGGCAAGCCTGAATTATTAAGGACGCAAGAGGGTGTGTTACGCTGCTCTGGGTAACCAGATATGGAGACACTCCGCCCGATCAGTGTGAACACCTGGGTGAACGCACCCTTAAGCAATGTTATAGTTAGCTTGAGCAACCCTTAGTGAGATGCTGTAATCAGCTCGTGTAAAGCAAATACGTCTTCTACTGCACCGTGCATTACTTTGTTCGCTTCCCCAATTGCGACCGCGAATTACCCCATTCCCACGGACACATTCTTAATTCGATTTAATAGTTCTCTGTCTCTGTGTTTTGGTTTTTTTTCTTCGCTACAAAATTGATGGGGTTTCGATCAATTTCCTACTAAATTAGAGCCATTTGTTCGTGATTCGCATGGTAATTGGATCCGAATCAGCAACAAATGAGGTAATTCGCTCTCAAAATTACGTAATTTGAAGAGTAATTGGAGTGCGAATTACGAATGAGAGAGCGAACTACATAATTGGGGTGCCGTGGAAAAGCCATATATGTGAGCCAAGGAAACATAAAAGTCTAAAAGAAAGTGTTGAGATGATACATTGATCGCGTGGTATTCATAATCTCAATAGTGTAATCCGATCGGATAGTGACCTGCCAATACTTTCACCAATGTGAAGAACTACATACATACAATTTTGTGAAGCTGTTATAGAAAAACCTTCTTTTCACTCCGTCTATGCGTCTTGGAGCCTCTCACAGGCAGTTAAAGCTGCTTCCACTCTCCCCTTCTTCTGTAAGAGCGCCCCACGTACACCAAGCCAGTTCGCCAGTGGACCGAAAATGGAGGCAAGGCGGCGGAGTTATTGGATTGTTATCTACTGGATTAATGGGTTAGTAAGTCACTCTATGGACCTTAATGGTCCCTGTGAAGCCACGCAGCGGCTAGCCGGCCCAACCCAGCCAAACCGTTGATGAAGTGCGTTAGCACTTTTGGATGAAATGCTAAAATATATCCTTAGGTGGCTTACAGTTTTCTTGACACAGCTCTGGTTTTGTCTAGTATTTATAAATCTGACGTATTTCGGATCGCATATCAGTAATCTCTTTTGAAATTGGGATTGAAAAAGGCCCATAAGGCATAATCAGTTTAATTCCCTAGGAAAAAAGTGTTGGTGGCATTTGGGAAAGGCCTTGACGTGTAATGTCCTAATGTGGTTGTTTTATAATTTCGGGCATGTTATAAAATGTTTAACAACGTACATTTGGTTTCAATGCTTTAATTAGCCAGGATTGGGTCTTCGAAAGTTAAATATTTAGCCCTCCAGAAGATTTTTTATAATTTGCAAGAACATGACTACTATAAAGCTCTATTGAATGCGACTGCTTATCCAAACGGTGATGCCTTGTTTCGCTTGCATCGCCAGCTTTTCAGTTTTTTCAAAAGAAGTCTTGTTTGTTCGAGCCTTCTATACATTTAGAACTATCTGCGATATTGCTCTGGTTTTTCTCCTGGCACTTTGGATTTGTATGTAGTTTCTAGTTTATATTATTATTTTATATTATTTAAGAGGCCTACCAAAATATTTAGCTTGGACATCTCTAGGAAATACATACAAAATGTGAGCAAAACAAATAAGTTATCGTCTAGCCAAAATTTTGCTTTTTTAGCCCACTGTGCCGTGTGCCATAAATGGACTAAGTACCGACTATGCCTGCAGGCAGTAATAAAATAATGAATGTTCCTTGTGCTCAAATGTTACTAAAAAGTGCTTCTAAATAGGCAAATAATGTTTACAATTGAACTGAGGTGAGAGGGGGTTTTTCTCAAATCCAGTTACAATTATTAAAATGTTGACTCATTCTACGAATTTGGCCTGGGAAACCTTTTTCGGGGCCCCAAATGTAATCTACTTCTCACTCACACACACAGCGTGAGAGCACTGTGCATATTTACGTACATTTGGAACTGCTGCACATGCGCATACAACTATGCACTTGCCTAGCATAAATTCGTTGGATAGTTAGTCAAGCGGAACTTCAGGCGAGCAGATAGACAACGCAGCGCAGACAGTTGGCGCGTGCAACTACGACTATTGTGGCATCTGTCGATGTTTTGCTTAATGCTTATGCAATTCTTTGGCTTTTATGTAGTTTTGGTGTAGTACTTCTTAATTTATTTTTTTTCGGTCGGTCTGTCTGTTTGTCCGCCTGCCTGAGCTGACATAGTGTTGCAGCTGTAAAGGTAATTAACTTGTTGCGATAATTGCCCAGCATTTGCACTTTTGGCACAACTATTGCTGCTGCGCTGTCTCGCACAGGCGTGCCAAGAGTGGCGAGCAACGAGCACGACGAGGTGGTGGCGGCAGTGGTGCTGGAGCTTCTGTTGCTGCTGTAAATGTAATTGTAGCGACAACATTTGCTCATTGCGTGCGCAATAAATTAAAAAAATGCGTTCATCGAGCATCGACTACCTCATATGCTTATGTAATACACGACGAAGAAGAGACGCGCAATAAAAAAATGAAAAAAAAATAAAAATGTGGAATACAAAAATTGCATTAAAATATATTTTATAAAATTCAACTGCAAATTGTGTGCAAAAACTCGACGTTTAAATGATTTCGGACGGCGCGCATGCGCCCTATGCGCATCGGCTTTCTAAAATTTAGCTTCTTGCTGCTTGTTGTGTTGCATGGCTGCATGGAGCGCATAATTAAACAGAGAAGTAAAATGCAAAGCTGTTGCTGCATAAATTTAACAAATTTATACAACAGCACCACAGCCCACTTAGTGGCGTACTCAGCTGTCGACTCAGCGCTCTTCGGTCTGCGCTCTTCTGCCAGCAGCAGCATGGAATTGGTTTTTGTTTTTTTTTTTTGGCTGCCGCCTGCCGACAAAGCCTACAAGTGTCTTTCGCCAGTAACACGGTAGCTTTGCTCTTAATTACCGTCGGAATGTGCCACCGTTATTGGATGCCAATGGCTGGTTTCTGGTAGCTGCAATATTTTTATTGCCCCTCGAATGGGCATTCTTGAGGCTAGCTGGTTTGCATTTTGCCGATTTTTGTAATGAATATGCATAGCAATTCACTTTTTCAATTTTATTTATATTTTATTGCAGTGCAATTTATTTCGCTTTTATATGTATTTTTGGCACTTAACAGCTTAATCATCGCTTTTGGGGTTATATTCAAAGTTCACGGCATGTTTTGTATTTAATTATTTTAATGAATACACAGATGAAGCTGTTAGCCATTGCTGCTTTTGTAATGTGTGTTTTACAGATAAACATATCCCTGGAATAGTAAGAGCTCGCCCTTTTTCATAACGAGGTCTAAGGCGCATCCGTCTTAATCGCTTAATTGAACGTGATTCGAATCGAAGTGCAAGAATGGTTAACGTTGCAACGTAATAAAAGTTTTTGACATTTGGATGAATCGACCGTCATTAAAGGGGATTAGTTAAAATTTTCTCTAATAGTCTAATTTGACCAAATAGTGCTGA